GATTAGTCAGAAATCCGTAAAAGTGATTATCTCATCGTGTACTGTGATATAATATAAGCAATACGTCTTTTTTGTGTGCTAAGCACGCCTCCTGCCCCGCAGAGCTCCGTGCAACGGGAAACTGAGCGCCGACCAGAACTAACCAATAGCGTTAGACTGCCGCTTAGGCGCTTCCGATTTAAGGAATACCTCGGCTGATGCAGAGCTGATGAACTTTTCACGGACAAGAAAGTCTCTAAAATATAAATACATGAAAACACAGCATGACATGAGAATAATACTCGTAAAACACCGTGTTTTAGCTGTTTGTCGCCACAGAAGCACGTTTATAAACAGAAACGTGAAGTCACCATTTCTTAAAAAACAAAGCGACAGACTTTTAGCATGATACGCTTGTCAGCCACTAGATGGCGCCATCGGATAAGAGAAATACTCCGAAGGAAACCTTAAGCTAACAGATGTTTATTGTATTCCATCTTTTCTGGTTTTCATGCTGTTTATAAGGAATGTTTGTTGTCCTGGCGGACGGCTGCTCATTCTGACCCCGGATCTTCTGGAGGTTTCCTCTTTTTCCTCTCCACTGTCGCTACATGCTTGCTCAGTAAGGGTCTTTATTATTTATGACGTTGTAACCCCGTTCCTTTGATTGGAAGCATTTCTTTCTGCACACCAGACCCACACACTCCTCTAGAGTCGGGCTCATTTCCTCAACAACAAACCGTAAATCGTGCAGCGGCGTGAACACCTCTGAACGCTCTTCTGTTATTTCCAGACGCTTCTAAATATTCATGTTCATCAGGTTCGGCCGATGACGGGGGCCGTGTTTGGATGTCTCGTTTTATTAAACATGATTTATTAGCACCATGCTTACTTTACTGTAGAGCCCCTCGGTCCTAATGGTGTGTTTCTTTATGAACGCCCATAAATGTTTCAACAGGAGAAAAATAAAATGATGAAATGTGAAGATACCTTGTAAATCTTCCAGGTGTCGTGAAAAGGGAGCGACCCACAGCATTTCGGTGATGGTGAGGGTACTTTGTAGCCGTATTTGTGTGTGAAGCAGTGAGGAGGACTGAACCAACTATGAACGCATGAAATTAAATTATTTTTGTTTCCGTTTCTTTTGTTTTTTCATCCGAGAGGTGAAGCATCTTCAAGGAAAACAAAAAAAGTCCCGTCATAACCAACTAAACCTTCAACATCATTAAAAATACTAAAGTATGTAGCAGGAGGGATTTTACCTCATTCCCAATAAAATAAAGCACCAATAGCATCCAGCTTTGTTTTTCCAAGCAACAAATAAAGCTTCACGACAGAAATGTGTGATTTTTAATTCAGACGATTTGATTATAAATCAAATTCTCGCTGCTATTTAAGGTATTTTAGTGCTTTTATTTCCTCACAAAAAATTACACTGGAAAAAAAAACGACCCTGCTTCTTACTTCCTTCATGGTGTCAGTAAAGTTTTATTATCTGGTGGTGTTGTGTGACATTTACTGCAGCATGACACAAATGTGTTATGGTCCCATTTGAAATAGGAGAGTAAAGAGCACTGGGACAGGACGGCGAGACACCTGAGGGTTGATCTGATGGCGGACACACGTCTAAACTCACGGTTTGTTGGGATACATCCCAGTGGCTGTTGTCATCCTTCCATCTGTTAACGCTTTCATAGTTCCACAATCGAACTCTGCACATTTGGGGATGCAGGAAGTGAAATCTGGAATCATTTGCCTGTTCTCATATTCAGGCTAATCCTACAAGATGGGCTAAAGTATAGCAACAATAACTACATTAAAGTCTTGCAGCCTCGTTAGATCTGGACCTCAGAAGCCCGCCGTACACGGAAGAGTCCTCTCTCTGGGCTTCTTCTGCCTCTTAGTGCCCCACGGGAAAATGTCACGCCTATAATGAAGGTTAGCCTGCTTACTGAGGATTAGCGAGGCCCTCTCCTTCCCCGTCTGTGTCTCAGTTAGACCCCGGATCAACGGCGTTTTAAGCCCTGATGAATAAACAGAGTCCTGTTGATCCCATAGCTGAGAGGTGGCTAGTGGAGCTAACGTTTACGGTAACGGGAAACCATGAGCAAACATCCCGCTTCACCAGAACCGATGGTATAAAAACGTCATTTTATCCTGAACCACAAAAGTCGCTCTTTACTATTTTTGTCTTTTTCATAAATGAATTAAAATCAATCATTTATCTTCCAAACATTTTGTGTTAATAATCGAAATCAAAAGATATACATATATACATATATATATATATATATATATATGTATATATGTATATATATATATGTATATGTATATATATTTATATAAATATATATACATATACATATATGTATATATGTATATGTATATATATATATATATATATATATATATATATATATGTATATGTATATATATTTATATAAATATATATACATATACATATATGTATATATGTATATGTATATATATATATATATATATATACATATATATATATATACATATATACATACATATATATGTATATGTGTATATATATATATATGTATGTATATTTATATAAATATATATACATATACATATACATATATATACATATATATATATATATATATATATATATATATATATATATATATATATTTATATATATCTTTGTAACATAAGGATATTAGCTAACACGACACAATCCTTGCATGATCAGTCACATGAGGAGAACAGGCAGACAGTGATGCTACACAAGCAGTGCAGAGTTCCTACGGAAGCCCAGTGGTTCAAACTGAGAAGAAATACTCATGAATGATGTTTGTAAATTAAAGGGGCATTATGGAAGTGTGACAGCCAAAACATGTATAGAAATAATAAATGTCTTCTTCATACGTTCTCCTGCAATGCCCTGGTCCTGTAGAATGAGCCCTGGCATTTTTACTGTGATTGTCTGTTTTCCTGTAAAATCACAGAAAAAGAGAGATGCTCGGGTCGAGCAGGCTGCTTCATGCGCATTCACGCTCAGGCATCGCCCGTAGCATTTGCTATCCGTAGCTTTAGCAGCAGAGAGAGAGGCAGTGCCACTTTGTCGCTGTTCCTAACGCCTAGTGACAAAGCTAGCTACATTTCTGAGGACCCTTAGCTACTTTCTGGAGAACTTTCTTCTAGATATTTCCTGCAAATTAGCAACAAAACAGCCATTTTCACTCCGAACCGTTCTTTGGTTTGACGTTGTTTCAGCTGTCATCAAGGATATAAATGTTACAGACAGTATGAATATTACTAGAGTTTAGCAGACTCTCATGCAGAAGACCTGGGTTCGATTCTGGATGTGAACATAGTTTATTTAGAGTTTCTTTTTTACATTAATGGTATATTTTTTTACAGTAAGATGCCCAAATGTGGGTTCAACTTTCATTTTGGAACAATTTTTCAAGCAAGGGAAGGGAATGATCTGAGCATGCAGGAGGACTGACCCATCATAAACCTTTGTCGCTGTGCTGAAGAGAAAGGTACAGAACCACATTATTTCATTAATTAGCTGCACGTTCTCCTGTCCTCTGGGCCACACACACACACACACACACACACACACACACACACGGGACTGTCTCAGCTGGTATTGTCGTTAAGGAGTGTGCACGTACAGCATGCGCGCCTCGTGCACGAGCCTACTATTGAAGCAGCCGTTACGCTTTTGGCCTGAGGGGGCGATCGCGAGCATAAAAATTCTAAACTCCGTAAAGTCCCTTTAAATGTTGGAAGCCACATCCCTGAGGGATGCCTAAGTATATTTGTGATGAGCATGACACAACACAAGCGTGTTTTGCCCACGCTCTGTCGTCCTTCATGGACTTTTTAAGACGCCGTAACAAGGTTCAGTGAGTTTAGTTTTTGTGTGTCTCACTCACAAGAAACAACAAAATAGGAGAACACCTGCAAACGAAGAGTCGCTCAAACAACAAAAGAAGAAAAGATTTGCTGCATCAAATTTCCTCATTTCCTTTCAGATATTCAGCCCGACGTTGGAAGGATGACTCAGTTTCAGACCGTCTTTAAAAAAGGCAAGAAATCAAAGATATGCCTGATGTCAAGCTGCTTAAGAATCCTGTTTGTAAAGAGGAATTCTTGTACAGTAAATCGCGGCCCTACGTACAAATCTGTTGTTATTGTTCAAAAGTCAGATGTGTTTGTTTGTATTGATCAAAGAGTCTGCATCAATACACAATAAAATGTAAATTCACCACCTTGGAGACTAAGTGGCTTTGCCTATTATTAGCATGTCTCATCATTATTCCGGAATGTCCTCAGACAAACGGAAAACACGCTTTTTTCTTGCTGCTTGGATGAGAAGAAAGGGGATTTACTGCAAATGAAACATGATAAGAAACGCAGTGATTATTGTAAAATGCACCGAGGCATAGTGAAGGCATTTTGTGTGCAGCAACGGGGGGCTGAGGTGGGATGGAGCGGGGCGCTCACACACCTGCCACGACAATACACGTCGTTATCAGGTTCCCTTTGTTTTCACCGTGAAGTTTAAAGGGAGTGTGTTTCAGGCACATGGCGCCCAGCTCCACCCTCTGCCACACACACACACACACACACACACACACACACACACACACACACACACACACACACACACACACACACACACACACACACACACACACACACACACACACCTCATGTCAGAAAAAGCAGCAGGGAGCCACCAAAACTATCGAATTTCACCACAAACAAGTATTTACGCCATGCATCATGTAGCGACAGCGAACATGTGTGCCAAAGTGATCTAAGTGCCTCTGAGTTAGTGTGAAGGGCGGTGGCGATAGCATCTGAGCAGGCGCTGAGCGAGGAGGCGGCTGGAAGTGATGGAGGTGGACGCGCTAAAATCTGGGAGTGATTCCGAACTGGTATGGAAAATGGGTCTGCTGGGTGACGGCGGCTGTGCGGGGCTCAGAAAGGGGTTAGAGGGAGAAAAGCTGCGATTTGGCCACAATAAAGCTCTTTATCAGCACGTCCGAGGACGACGAGATGCTGGTAGCAGGAAGGTTTGCAGAAATGTGAGCAACTTCAATGACTTTCAGGTTGTCGGTAATGTTGTTCTCCAGCTTCTCCCACAGAATATTCAGGTGGTAACACAAATCTGAGGGTAATTTTAATAATAAGGTTTCTCGAGATTTAAAAGCTCATTTGAGCAGTTGGCTGTTTGACACAAGCCTGCAAACATCAGCAAAACAACAAAGTGATCTTCGTGGTGCAGCTCAGTAAATCCTAACACTTGTTTTAACGCTGTGATAAAGCTGTGCTGTTTGTCCAACTCTAGTCAGGAAAGTTCAAACTCGGGCACGAAGCAAAAAGCCTCCGCAGCATGTTCACTCCGAGGAAAACAAACGTATTCAGAGAAAAGGAAGTGACCTTGCTTCTGACCTTTCCTTTGAATCTGGACCATGTCTGGAGCACGTTTGGCTGGAGTGCACCAGGTGTCCGGGCAGGAGCGCCTACCTGAAATGTTCTGGGCTTCAGACACTTCTGTGGTCCCGACTCCTTCTGCCACCGTGACGCACAGACGTTCAGCAGGAGAGGAATGGCTCACCACGTCTCCTCCAAGCTCATTTTCTACACAGAGGGAGGAAGAAGACGAAGAGCGCGCATCATTAAAATCACTTCCAGAACAATCACGGTCACGCACAGCCATGACAGGATCTGAAATTTCCCCCCTCTCCTTTGACTCCAGGCTCATGAATAGTCATGTAGCATCAGCTATGCGGCACGCAGCAAAGCAAACACCGATTTCCGCCATAACGACGGCCGCATGTCGTATGCGATAGGCTTGGCAACATGGGGTAATTAGCTAGATCTATCATCTGCAGCAGGAAGTGGGGACAAATATAGCTAATGATCCGTGCCTGCCTCCATGATTTCTCTCCTCAGCTCTCCATCGTTCGCTGAGCTGGAGGAGCCAAGAGGAGGAGAGCAGGAGTGAGGAGACGGGGGTCGATGTGTGTTACAGTACAATAACCAAAGACACAGATAAAGTCAGGAGAGAGGAAGGTGTGAGCACTAAGCACGCCCGCTCTTTTCCACCCGCTGCTGCTAATTGAGAAAATGTATAGCAGAGAACAGATGAGGTGTTGATGGCGTACAGGGAGAACCACCGAGGAGGAGGGGCCCCATGGGGAGCCCGCCAGACGGACGATAACACGCACGCGCCGCAGCTTCAATCAAAACAAAAGCCGGTCCCTCGGGACCGCCACGAGCACAGGCTGAGCTCAGTCGTGTGTTATGTAAAAGGAGTGCTGGTGCTTGTGCGCACACGTGGACTTCACTCTCAACCAGCAGGGGTTCCTTTCCCAGCCTCCATCAAACCACACACCTCTGCTTTCCACCGTTTCTGTGTGTAAACTTCCTTTGTAGTGCACATAATAAGCATAAAAACAGTGTGAGCAGGTTGTAAGGGGACAGAGGAAACAGCTTTCAGAATGGCTATTAACAGGAAACCCTAATGTGAGACAATGGGACACTCATGCTATATTTTCATTTAACTACGGCAGCCCTGCTGTCTTTTGTTTCATGAAAAATGCATCAAAGCCTGCTTTGTATTTGATTACAGCCACCGGAGCTCCCTGAAAGCATTTTCATAAAGAAAAGCATGCAATGAAACAAAGGTAAAGTGAATTTTGCCGCCTGTAGCTGCTGCCTTGAGTACAGTAACCGTATAAGTTCTGATAAAAAGACTGGCTGCAGCAGTAAATCTCTCCTATGGTTCTAATTTGAATTTGACAAAATTCACTGCAGGTTTTGTGAACGAATCTGGGAAAATAAAGTCACAGCAGCGCTAATTCATTTGCAGTTCACTAAAAACAAAGACAACTGGTGCTTGTTTGTAGTTAGTTTTAAAGTCTGAACCTTTAATTTCCAAAACATTTATTACTTTATCCTAAATCTTTTGGACGTTCTGTTACATGTCAGCTGTTCTGGTTGGTTCAGATCTCTGAGTTTCTATTAAATGCATCTTGATCTGGTCACAGTCGCGTTAGCGTGTATTTTCTCTGCGTGGGTCTCAATTCTGAGCTCTTTAAGACTGTCTTTAAAGCTAAAATCACTTTCAAAGCTCTGCAAGTTTGATGCTTTCCTCTAATGAAGTCCAGTTTTTTAACTGGAGTGCAGTCTGACAGATCGTCTGTCTATGTCAGCTAAAAGCTAATGTGGAGCTAATGCAACATGCACACTGAACAACGCCGGCTTTAATCATTTCTAACATAACAGCTGTTCACCTTCCACAAGAAAAAAACCCAAACATAGTTCAAATGGTCAGAGGGTGACGTTCAGTTCACGTTCATCCGTTAAAAACAGCCTCGGTTGGTTCAAAGTTCACAGAGAAGAAGAATGTCGACGCTGCTTCCAGCTCATAAAATACAAGAAGACACAGGAAGGCACGCCCTGGCCCCTTGGTCTTGGTAATCAGAGAGTAAGTGATGGGTCTGTCCTCTGATGAACGTCTTCATGTTGAGGCTGATGACAAATCACAGCTCTGACTCTTCATCAGGGCACAGCCTGCATTCTGAGGTGTGTGCACCAAAAGGGATAAAAAGAAGAGCGAGGTGAGGGGAAAAGAATAGCAAGCAACCAAGAATGAAGTAACAAATACCACAATTCACAACAAAAGGCGCAGCAGCTCATTGTGTCCCACATGTGTTGTTTGATTCTTCTGGACGTGCTCTCGCTGGCTGAAAATTTCAGCACCAAGGACAGCGACCGAGAGAAAAAAATCAGGCTTACTGAAACACTTATGTGCACACACACACACGTGCACGCACACTCGCAAATACACACACATGTGTACACACACACACACAAACACACACACGCACACACACACACATACTTACATTTGTTCTCCACCTTTGTCTGACAGAGCTAAAAGACTGAACCAGAATCTTACAAGTTTGTCCGCATGTGTGTGTGTGTGTGAGAGAGAGTGAGAGAGTGAGTGAGAGAGAGAGAGAGAGAGTGAGAGAGAGAGAGGGAAAGAGAGAGAGAGAAATAGAGAGTGAGAGAGAGTGAGAGAGTGAGAGAGAGAGAAATAGAGAGAGAGAGAGAGAGAGAGAGTGAGAGAGAGAGGGAAAGAGAGAGAGAGAAATAGAGAGTGAGAGAGAGAGAGAGAGAGAGAGAGATTTCTACACAGTATGTTCCTCAGAGACCAACAGGACACGAGTCCTCTACTGGACTTTTTTATCTACAGAAGCAGAGGGGCACACTGAGAACAACTACTCTCTCTCTCTCTCTCTCTCTCTCTCTCTCTCTCTCACACACACACACACACACACACACACACACACACACACACACACACACACACACACACACACACACACACACACACACACACACACACACACACACACACACACACACACACACACGTTTGTTTTTCTATCTACCGTTCACTTTGTATTGACTTCCATTACTTTTAGTAACCGCATTCATGCCTAACCCAGACCCTGGCTCTAACCATAACCAGTGTTCCTAAACCCAACTGTAACAAAAACTCTCCACGTCTCACCCTTAAGCCTAAACAGCGGTCCTCTATATTAGGACTGGGTTTGGGGCCTAATAAGGCCCATCGGTCCTCAGAACATCAGAGAATGTGCCCGTTGTGGTCCTAAGCAGGATAGTAAAAGTAGTACACACACACACACACACACACACACACACACACACACACACACACACACACACACACACACACACACACACACACACACACACACACACACACACACACACACACACACACACACACACACACACACACACCAACCCACATGTGTGGAGAAACACTCGAATGGCACACCAAGACAAATAAGCACATAATTCAGCAGAGACATGCTTTATTCATGTGACGTGTGTGTGCACGTACACACAGCTATCTCCTCCTCTTGGGCTTTGAGACTGACTGGGGCTGCCTGACCTACATATGAGCAGATATGTAGACAGGCAAAAAGAAAGGAGGAGATGAAATCCTTCTGTTGTTCTCCATCTCTCTGTTGCACATCCTGTGTTCTTCTCAACGCTCGCTGCCTCTCGGACACGCTGTGGCGATGAAGCAGCAGCTGTGATTTCCCGGCGCCAGTGTCCTCCTGCAGCAGTCGGAGTAGGAACTGTCAGAGTACAGTCGTGTGTGCTTGATGGACTTCAGAGCGAGCTGACAGCAGGGCAGTTATTCTGTGCTGCACATGAAAGGCTCCTTCATATATTATTTGCTAATTATCTATGCAACTAATTCATTTCCATCTGCAGACATCCCTAAACTCAGCTTAGGCAAGAGGGGCAACGTCGAGAGCAGAAAGCTAACCTTGACCCAACATCTGCATCTGTTTCAGTAACTGTTACAGTTAGAAGGAGACAGACGTTTGCTAAAGGAAATGATCTTTAACTCTTGTTGGCAAGGCATTACAAAGGTGTTTTTGTACATTAGTTCATATAATCTACGTATAACTTCTAACATGCATCAGAAAAACCGCTTGAATCTCATCCGTTGTATCTAAATAGCTACATGGATGAGTGCCAGCCTTTCCATGTGGCAGAATGGAAGGAAAATCCCCTGAAACTGACGTGTAAACCCAGCTGATGCTTGTCTGCTTCTGCTCGATTTGGACATTTTTATGTCTACGTCCTACACGGCTCGCACTTCAGGTTACGGCCTTCCCTTGCAGTTTGCTGAAGATTAAACAAAATTACACATCAAGCGTCTTTAACCGTGTCTCACTTTGCTTTAAAAGTTCAGTTTTCAGTTGGATCATCATGAAAAAGACATTTTGTAATCTATAAGGGTGTTTTCAACGTTTCTGCAGGATTTAGCGTCAAATGATAAAAGTCCAGATGTGTCATTTGAAGACCCGGGGCTTGCTTACGCACAAAACGGGGTCGGAAAACTGTGTAAGCAACTTTCCACGCAAACTTTGGGATTTATGAAAGAAAACGTAGCGGAAAAATGTGCACAACTTTAAGTTGACTAAGGACCTGGCTTATGCACATGCTGGACATGGAGAGCACCTGCAGTGCTGAGAAGCAGTGGCGGCTCCAGAAATGTTTTCCTGCAGGTGCTGTGAAGGAGCTAGTCTTTTTATTGAGGGTGCTATGAAGGAAGTGGTCATGCGTACCTATAGTTCTCTAAAAGACCTTCAACACTAGCAGACACACATGCGTGCACAACACCTCAACAACACCTGAAACAATCATTAATATACATCATAAACATATGAACAATCACTGACTTTTCCATGAAATCATAAACACATACAGCCACACAGAAAACCATCTATAGTGTTGCAAGGTTAGCTAACGTTAGCGTTAGCATTTCCAGCGGCAGAACCCTGGACTGCTGCGGCGGTTGAGGGTCGACTCTCTTCATCCAGATCCGTAGGTGTCTGTGGGTCTGAGATCACTTCCAGACATTCATCCGTTTCTGACTGAACCCGTGGAAATGTGGGCAACAAGAACCGATCCATCTTACCGCTAGCTCTACCTTTCACTCGTTCACAGGTGGAAAATGAGGTCAAAGGTTAACATCAATTTCCTGTTTTGGTTTAAGTTTTTACGATCTAGATGATAAT